ACCTAACGTCATTAGTTATGTGGAAAGCCCTGTCTCTATGGAGAAGATTTGGGCAGCCTATTGCAGTCTGAAAATCAGAGCCAAAAGAAAACAAAAACAAAAACTCATTTCTGCTGTTAAAAATGCAAACCATGATTGTCACTTTCTCCTCAGATGGTGCATAATTCTACTCTCTCTACTGTAATTTCCTTTCCTAATCTAGATATATTTTGTGTGCTTTTGAAAGCTGTTACAGCATTTGTTATTTAAATTAAAATGTGTTGTGAGTGAACTACAGGGAATTTGGTAAGCATTTCATTTTGAAATTTCCAATTGACCTCCCAGCCCTCTCACATTAAATGACATAAAACAGATTATGCAGACCATGTCCTCCGTGTTCCGTCCCTCAGAATAAGAAAAGGGTCTTCTTCAGGTTGCTAGACATTAAATAACAAAAGATAAAACGCCCCATCCACTCATAGAATTTCAGAGTTGGGAACAACTTTGGACATCATCTGGTCTATTGCCACGCAGTTACATCTCCCTGGATCTTCTTCTGACCCTTGAGATGTAAATAGGTTTTTATTCCTAGGAACCCTGGTGGCTGTTCACCTGTGCTCCCCCTGCAGCTCTAACACTTCTGCTCGCCTTTGCATTTTGAAGTTAACAGCCCAGGTTCTTGTAGCTCAAAACCTTTTTCTTTACAACAAAACAAAACATCACTACTTGAGCTTCAAAACACTTCTTAGTAATCTTAAAGCCAAGAACGCCTTAGTGTATATTGGGGCTTTGCAACTTTGACACTACTGACGGGGGATAAGTCTTTGTTGTGAGGGGGGCTGTGCTGTGTACCGTAGGCTCTAGGCTGTGTAGCAGCATCCCTGGGAAGTAGCCTCTCCACACCCTGCAAGTGCGACAACCAAAAATGTCTCCTGACATTGTCAAACTTCTGCGGGGGGGTGTGGGGAATCACTCCTGGTTGAGAACCGTTGATATATGGTTTGTTCAAAACAAATAATAAATAAAATGCTTGATGATTTAAAAGCCAGTTCTCCCTTCACCATACACACAGCCTCTCCAACACTGAAAGTCATCATTTTGTAAAAATTTTTGCCAATTTAAATGTAAATTATGATAATATTCTCTCATAATGCTCTCCAGGGTTCCCACGTCATGATGTTTGCCAAAAGAATGGCAAGAAGAGTCCCGGGTTGTAGAAGTGGGGTGTTGTAGAAAATGAAGAAGTGTGATTTAATTCTCTGGTCCTGATGTGAGAGTATTACTTCAGCAATATCTGCATAATACCAGAGTTGAGGTGACCGTGTGAATGTTGTCTTCATTCCTCATGGCTCCGTGTTTGTCCAGAAGCTTAGGTGGTCAGTTGAAGAGTCTACCTAGCACATAATAGTTACTCAACAAATATTTGTTGAACGATTTCATGAATTGTACTTTACCTTTGCCTCTTGGATTGGACAATCAGGTACTTTTGTCTGTGCTGGAACTAAAAATATCCTTACTCAAATCAGCTGTAGAATGTAAAATCTCCTAGAAAGCCTCAAAGTTTCTTGTATTCCCCACTCCACATCCCCTAGTTTAAAAAAAAAGTGTGTGTGTGTGTGTGTGTGTGTGTGTGTGTGTGAGAGAGAGAGAGAGAGAGAGAGAGAGTACGTACATGTGTAGTACAGAAGCAAAGATCTATCAGACATAATCCCTCAGCCCTAGGGACTTGAATAGAGAAGAAAAAGAAGGACTACAATTTGTATCAGGCTCTACAATGATGTGTTAAATAGACCATCTCTTTATTCCTCACAACAATCTCTTAAGGTGGGTATTATCACCTCCCTTGTATAGATGCTAAGAAACGAGTTGCTCGAAGTCAGACAGCTGCAACACCAGGGGAGAGCAGAAATTCAGATCAAGTGCTAGCTGAGTTTTAAACTGTCTGAGACCAGTGTACAAGCCTCCCCTGACTCACTTGGCCCCATGTGTCCCCCTTGGCCTTGGTTGCTTATTGAATGGAAAGCCCTGCCCGCCACTACCCCGACCATCACTGCATCTCCTAATGTTGCCCATGGCCCCAGCCAGCCTCTTCAGGGTGAGGGCAGGGCCTCACCGTCCCCACGTGGTGGGAGCCGCTGCAGAGCCAGCATCCAGACCCAACCAGACCAGAGGCTTTGGCTTCTTTACCTCACTTCCCTTTTCGCTCACACTCACTGCCCCCCCGACACACACACACACATCCCAATAAAATGTTAACTTACAAGTTTTGCTTTCGTCTCCATTTTCTAGGGACTCCTGGCTTAACATAAACTTATATTCTTTTATTTATAAAATGACAACGCTGAAACCCATCCCTCCAAAGTCCAAGAAAAAAGTAACAACAAAACCTCTCTTAGTAGATATTACCCTGTCCTGATGATCACTAATATCTTGAAAGAAAAAAAAGGCCACAGTATATGGGTGTAAAAAGCAGTGCACTGAGGTGGCACTAATTGTACCTTTGTGGCCACCTTGTATCTGCCCGAACCACCACCTGTTTTTTCCCCCCTTGCTCTTAGACCAAAGGGCTGTGTTAACACTCACTGGAGCAGAATGGATATATTTGTCTTACTGTAATGATCATATGCCACCTGGTAGGATGGACAGTGTTAGTCATCCCAAGTTCAAGTCCTAGCTCTTCTGCTTTTTAGCCACGTGACTTGAGAAAGTCATATCTCTGGGCAGATATTTACTCACTTGTGAAGTCGAAATAAGACTCTGCCTCACCTTTCTCGTGGGTGGGTGTGACATAGTGAAAGCACTTGGCGGCATTATACATACGTGCTTTGACTGTATAAAGAGAGGTGAGGAAATAACTTCCTAACTTAGGTTTCCCAAATTTCCCTCACTATATTTCCCAAATAATGAAATGCTTCAGTAGGAAAATAGAAAGGAATAAATCACTTAAATCCGCTGAAACTTCTTCAAGATATTAATAACCAAGATTAAAAGTAAAAGGGTTGAGACTTCCTCTCCTGACCAAGATGGAATAAAAGAGACTGGGTTTTCCCTCCCGTGTTAAACAATTGAAAATATAAACAGAAAAAAAATCTGTTTATAAAAACAGTTTTCAGGACATTGGCTGTCAGACAACAAAGTGATCCCTGGGAGAAGGGAAACAGATGCAGTGAGCCCTAGCATTGCTTCAGCCGACTCCCTGGGGAGTTCCCCGGCGGCAGTGCAGGGAAAAGAAGGCCCTGGGAGGTTGGTGGACGCCATGAGTTCAGGAGATGGAGCTGAGCGCAAGAAACCCAGGTGGCTGGAGTTCTCAGGAGAAAAGTGTCAGGGATGAGAGAGATGCACAGAGAACTCTGGAGATAACGCAGAGGATGTCCCTCCAGTGTTCAGCAGAGTCCTCAGTGCATGTGTGTGAGGAAATTACCCGAAGCTGAGAAAAGAACCACCCAAAAAGATTAGAGGGAACAGTACCTGTCCTCACACCAGGCTTGGAATCGTGCCTATATCCTCCAGCCAGACTGGAAACCTCTTAATTCACAAGAGATTGGGGAGAATCTTGCCTCAACAATGGGAAAAAAATTATCCCTAAACTAAACACTGCTCTGGTCCAACCCAACAGATCTTAAAAGAAGACCTGAAAGATCAAACTGTTTCCAAGTAACTAAACTACATTCCAGAACAAAGCTCAAGAATATTTATAAAAATACAAAATACCCAACACCCAACAAGGTCAAATTGCCATTACCCAGCCTCCAATAAAAAATTACCAGGCATGCGAGAAACAGGAAAATATGCCCCATAATGAGGTGGAAAATCCATCAAAACCAACTCAGAAGTGACACAAATGTTAAAATTAGTAGGGAAGGACATTAAAACAGTTATTATGATTGTATTTCAGAGGTTCTAAAACTTAAATAGAGACATGGAAGATTTAGGGGAGGCAGAAAGTCAAATCAAACATCTAGAGATGAAAACTACAATGTCTGAGAGGAAAGATCCAGGATGGGATCAACAGTATGTTTATACAATGGAATACTACTGAGTAATGAAGAGGAATGAACTGTGGATATAACAACATTGATGAATCTCAAGATAGTTGTGCTTAGTAAAAGAACCCAGCCAGAAAAGATTGCATGCTGTACTATTCACTTTATATAAAATTCTGGAAAATGCAAAATATAGTTACAGAAAGCAGATCAGCAGTTACCTGGGGAGAGGGGAAGGAAAAGGGATTCCAAAAGGCATGAGGAGACTTTGGGGGGTGATGGATGTGTCAACCATTTTTATTTTTATAATGGTTTCACAGGTGTATACATATGTCAAGACATATAATTTGTATACTCTAAATATGTGTGCTTCATTGTGTATCAGTTATAACCTAGTAAAGCTATTTTTGAAAGCGAAAGAGGCAAAAATGTGTTAAACCACTGAACAACTTGGAAAATAGAGAATTCACAAATATAATCACAGTTATTTTAAAGTATTTTAAATTTTATAAATTTTGAAGAATGGTAAAATAAACATTTAAATGTGTAATTTTTATTACGTCTAAAACCATAATGTCCCTATACTATATCTATAATATAGTACCTATAGTATCTAATGTAGTGTCTAAAATTTGGTTTGGGGGTTCTTTTGTTCTTTTTTTAGCAATAAATTGGAAAATCTTTCCTCCTATTGTTTAGAACTATATATTTTCATGTTTTTTAATTAGAAAAACTAAGTCAGAAAGCCACAGGTAAATTTCAGTTGTTTTTTCTAAAACTTGTTTCATAAATTAAGAAAATGCTATACATTTTTTTTAAACATAGGTGACTATACATTTATTGCCTAATATTGTTCACTGTTTGATATGAGGTTTGGGCTGAAAACCCCCTAAATGTCTGATTAAAGACTCGATGCTTTCATTCCTGTTGTCCTGTTTCATTAGAGATACAGTTGTATGATGCATGCTCATTACATTTTGGAATTAACTAATTTATGTACTTTCATGTTCCAAACTTATCTGTCCTGATTTCCCCCAGTTTGATGCCGACCGAGATGAGGACGAGGTGTTCTATGACATCAGTGTGGCGGTTGACAACAAGTTATTTCCAAACAAAGAGGCTACAGCAGGTAAGTCACTGTGTCCTTTGGGCAAACAGTACACCATGATAACCTGCCAAGTGTCTGGGGCTTTGTATTAATGAGCGAAGCTCGACAGAGTGCTGTAAGGTTATAAGGATGACACTGTCCTCAGAGTCTCATGCTTTCTGGTTTAAAAAATAAAGGTTTAAAATAGAAGAGAAGGGCTATAAATCCTTATAGTCACTTATAGTTCCTTATAGTCACTGCTTTTCTTCCTGTCATTGCACATGTAAATTGACAGGGAGTCACAATGCAACATACGATCTCTGTTACTGCAATAGAAAAAAGACCTAACCTAACCCATACTTTGTGCAACAATTAAAAGTTACAATTCCTTCAGAACTCCCTAACTCACACAGGTTTTTGCCATGCTGCCTGGAAAAAGCATCCCTCCAATCTGTCCCTATCCCAAACCCACAGCTCCTGTTTTGACACTGCCACTTCTCTTCCTGAGCACTCTTGCCTGGAACTTTGCCTTTGGACACTGGCGTGGAGAAATCATACCCCCTGCAGTAGGCAGTAGGCAGTACTCAGGTTCTATCTGACCCCTCATACTCCTCTACTCTCTCTGACTCTGGATCAACTCATTGTCCCACATGGCTTCAGCCATCAGTTCTGTGTGGTTGACTCTCCAATCTTAGCCTCAGTCCTGACCTTTCTTCTGAGTTATGGCCTCAAAGGGTAAAGACCAAAAGCTGTAAAGAAAAAGGCTAACACTTAAATTTTTAAAGCACTATTGGAAGCCACTAGAGTAGCTTCAAACAAAGGCAGAATTATAAGGACAAGGTGGTATAGTTTTCCTGGGAAGACCCATAGAGTACAAATAACTCTTGTAAATTTACCTGCCTAATTTTCCCGTGAGATTTACAAAAAGTTAGCCTACTGCAGGAAAGATGGAATATTGAGAGTCATGTAAACAAGACTATTGCTACTCTGAAAAATGCTGTAACTCCTGTGTTTTTCAAGTTAATATTTTAGTTAGAACCTGCGTTAAAAATATAAGAATATATCGCACATATAAGAATAATATCTATTGGATGTTGGGCAGGGGGGAGGGAGGAGGGGGGAGGAGGAGGAGGAGGGGACGGGTATATGCATACACAAAGAGTGCAATGTGCACCACCTGAAGAATGAACATATTTGAAACTCGTACTTGGGTGGGGGACAAGGGCAACATACGTAACCTAAACATCTGTACCCCCATAATATGCTGAAATTAAAAAAAACACACACACAGAATAAACAACTTTTCTGCAAGATAAAAAAAAAAAAATAACTACTCCTAACAACAAATATCTAACTGCTACATGTCCTCAGTTTCCTCGTTCAGTGGAGGGGTTGATTTAAGCTTCTTTAGAACTCCTGGCATTTTGTGGCTCCCTAGTGGCATTTCTCCCCTCGTAGCCTTGTCCTGCAGCGATGCAACTGTGGCAACTGCTGTGCTGGCAGGAAATCCGCCTGCGGGCAGGTGCTGTGTCCTCATTCTCTCAACATGCCCTTGGCAGAGTGCACAGTGCCTGGCCCGTAGCAGTGGTTTCCAAGGGTCTACTCTTTCCTCTCTCTCTCTACCTCTGAGCTTATGAACAGATGAGTCTTGTACCTACAGCCTCAGCTTCCACCAGCTCCCTTCTACTCCTGAGACCCCTGAAATCGGGCTTCTGCGCCAGCCTTCAAATCAGCCTGCTTTCTCTATCACAGCCCCTGGTGGGTGCAGTGAGCCTGGGAAAGACTGTGGTAAAGCAGAAGTAGATAGTGCTTCCTCTGTTGGGGGCAGCCTCTATGCAGCCCAGGCCGGCGTTGCATTAAGGAATGGGCCAGTGTTGCTGGGGCCTTCTCTCTCTGGAGAGAAAACAGAAACCTGCTTTTGTAGGTGAAATCTCCTGGCTTGCAAATGTTGGTAATTCATTCAGTAAACAAATCGTGTCTGTGGCCTGTGCTCTGTGAGTTGTCAGCTTCCAGGTTTTGTTCCTCCACTCTTCTCTTCTCTCTGAACTCTCTCTCTCCTTTTGCAGAATCTTAGCTGCCCCACAGCTCCCACATCACCTCCGTGTGAGTGACTTGCAGTTCTACTTCTCTCGCCTTAACCTTTCTTCCAAGAGCCAGGCAAGAATGCTCTTGCCCTCACACCCCACACTGATCATCATTCTTCAGGGGCACTTGGGAATCCAAACCTTCTTCTCTGTTCCTCCTGTACTCATCAAAGGCTTTGTCCTTCCTCATCCCTGGCCCCTCCTGTCTGTCATGAGTCCTGTTGCTGTCATTGGGATCTTCATAGAATGCAGCTCTAGTCATCCTGCCTCCCTGACAAAAAAAAGAAAAAGACAAAACCTTCAGTGACTTCTTGTAGTCTGGGAAACCAGTGTCCTTAACATAGCAGAAAGCCGAGATCCTTAGCTTTCTTACAGCGATCCTGTTACTGCAACATCACCTCTCCCTTACCCGTACTAGCTTCCTCTGGTTCCTTGAATGCCTCAAGTACCTTCCTGCCTCAGGCCACTTGCACTTGCTCTTTCTATTGCTTAGAAATGCCTGGCCCTGTTTGCATCCCTTCACTCTCCCAACTCCATAGCCCCATCCTGCACCTGCCCAGATCCTACTTTGTGCCTCAGTATAAATGTGATTTCCTCAAGAAGGCTTTCTCAGACCCCGTCCCAAACTAGACAGGGCCCTTGCGTACATCACTGTGACTCCCAGGCACACCAGGTCTTCTTTGGCTCCAGGGTATAGGGTGTATTTCCTTGGCCTCCATACATTTTCTTACATACTGCCTTTAACCTTTCACCCTTCAAGCTGTATCTACAGTGTCTCCTCCCCTAGGGAGGCCTCCACTAACACTTCTAGCAGAACTATCTGGATACATCACTCAATCTCCCTGGACCTCCATTTCCTTATATATAAAGAGGGAATAAAAATAGCACCCACCTTATAGGATTGTTGTGAAGAGGAAATGGTTTGTGTGTGTAAAGCGTGTATCTGTAACATTGAAAAGGCTATATATGAGTTCATAACTTTGCTGAGGCTTTGAGGGCTCAAAGGGAGGAACCACATCTTACACAACACAACTTTCTCTCCTTTTCCTAGGTCTACTTCTGCTCTCTTCTCCCTCTCTCTTTCTCCCTCCCTCCCTCAACCCCTGTCCTAGAGAACTGAAAAATCCTCCCCTTCCCCTTCTCACCCAGAATAGTCTACCAACTATTCCTCAAAGAGTTCACCTTCTAGTCCCAAATATTGTCAGGATATTGTTCCAAAGAGATATAGTTCTCTTCCTCAAAGGAATTCTGATGCAAACTGTTATTAATACTTTCCATGCCTACTGGAATTAGAGCAGGATTCCAGTCCTGATGCAGGTTGAGCACTAATAGAACATACCCAGTGTTCATAGAGCTAGTGAATGAGAGCAAGATCTATAAAGGTAAATGTAAATGCCCTTTCGTTCATTTTCAGTCATTCAGTACATGTATTAAAAGCATATAATTTCTAAGTTTTGTTCTTAGATTCAGAGACGAAACACAGCCCTGCCCTCACAATGTAGCTTACAGTTTAATGGAGGAGACAGGACAAGGGGGAGATTGCTTTCCTTTAGAGGGGGCAGGGAAGGTGTTGGAGGAGTTTTATCTACAGACGCCCTGCACTGCTGAAGATGCCCTGCAATTGTGGAAGGTCTCCTTATTTGGCACTCAAAATGGGAAGAGGATCTTCCTAAAACTTTAGGTTAAAGATCCACTAGGAGGAAACAAGTCTGTAACGTTGTCCCAGAAAGCAGTATAGTTACCTCTGGTATCTCTAAAGTTAATTCGTATCATCTCTCCACTTAAACTTAAGGAGACAATCTGAAAATGATATTTTTGAAGACCATTCTGCATCTAAAACTAGTGGCACTGAGTGTTCCCTGTGGGGTTCTGTATTTCAGCTCAGACCTTTCTCTGTTATCTATAAAAAAATATTTTTAAATCTGAAAAGAAATTGAGAAATTCAAAATAGGGGCAAATGAAAGCCACACTAATACTTTTTCAAAATGTCCTAATTTTGCTGTCTTTCTTGAGTAACAAGATCATTGCAGTTGTTGTATGTGTTAAATTATCCAACAAAAGAAGGCAAAATGTGTACATATGTCTATATTTACCTCCATATTTTGCATGTCAAACCTTGGGCTATTATTAAAGGTCCAATTTTCAGCAAATGAAGCAACCCATGCTAAAAGAAAATGAAAGCCATTCAATCATTATCTGAGCTGGTAATGATATCCTTTGTCTATTGCCTATGTCTATGATATATTATTTCTGTTGCCAGGAGCAACAATGTGTCAAGGAATTCCATCCCTTAATGATACAATAAGATTTCTGTTAAAAGCATTTTATTAGGAAAGCCAATCTCTTCTTCCTTATAAGCATGAGGTTTTCTTTTAAACAAAGATCTTTTCATTCTACCGTTGCTGAAGATAGTTTTCTAATTATCTTGCTCTGGTTTCAAATATTAATGCATATCTGTTAACTGGGTTGATTAAGAGCCCTTTATGTTGTACTTTTTGAAAACAACTGAAAGAACAGTTTCTAATTAAGTAAGTAGGACACAGGAACTAAAAGCAGCTATATGTTTAATAAAATTTCATGTTCTGATCACGTTGCTCACTCCGCATGAATCACTCTGCATACAGCTGAGGTGAGGGAGTCATTCGAATCCTAGTAGCTATTACCACTTTGACTAGTCAGTGGTAGATAATAACCATATTGTACAAGTAATGAAAGCTAAATAAAATGTGTGTCATCTTTAATGATGCTGTCAATAGCAGCCACCTAGAAAGGAACATTGATTGTCACCGGCTTGAACGAGCATCCTTAATTCCACATCTGATTCTCCCATTTTGGCAGCCGCCCCTCGACCTGCCTCATCATCAGCCATTCACTGTTCCTCATTTTCTCAGAATGTGGAGTAGGCAGCATGCTCCTCCACTGCACAGTACTGTGGGGAAGGAGAATATTTATGACGCCATTTGGATTGCTACTTGGAACCTAGAGTCAGCAGCGTGTGTTAGAAGAAGTAGGAGCAGCTACCAGTTCTGTTTTTGATCTCAGACACGTTCTGCATGACCTTGGCCAAGTTATTTAACTTCTCTGCATCTCATTTTCCTCTTTTCTAGAATGAGGGGGTGGGATTCTGTGAAATACTGGTTCTAAAATGTCTGTGATCTTATAATGGAAAAATATAAATTTTACTTCTGACATTTTCACTGCCTCACAACACAAATGCAAACTGAACTTCAAACTGCTCTTTAAGACACGCAAGCATTTTGGCCCCAAGATACAGCTTACAAAATTCTTTATTTGAAAAATACCAACAGTACGAAGGTAGAAAAATTATATATAAACCCACTAATTAAAATATGTATATGTATAAATTAAAGTTTCCCCAATCACCCCTCTAATCTTTGTTAATAGAATAATGTGTAGTCTTCCCAACTCTGTTCTAGCAACCGCCTATCAACAGTGGACTGAGGAAGGGCTGTTCTGACATTGTGACCATGTGACTGGCATTGCCTAGAGTTGTCCTGAACACGTTCATGCAACTCTGTGGCACATTACGCAACTCTACAATTACTTTTCCAAAATGGTTTGATGGTTCAAGTATCTCCATTTTGAAACCTTCATCATCATTTACAAAAAAATACAAATACAATAAACAATGGTATTACTGTTTAGTATTTAATCAATTTGGTAATGGCTAGTACTTTTTCAATTTGGTAGACAGTAGAGACAATGATAAGAAAAGAGAAGAAAAAAGTAGAGAAGAGATGAGAAAAGACTGTGAGGACATACCTTGACTTGTTTTGGAAGAAAGTATGAAAGCAACATCTCAGGGACAGGTCCATATCTGAGAAGTATATGAAATGCTCGATTTTTTAAAAAAAATCTATCTGCATTGAATATCACTCCTTGCATATTCTGACCAAGAATTATTTGCCAAGGCCAAGTTACAAACATGAGATGGTTTATTTTTTCACAAGATACATGACATTTTATGAGCAGTACTGAATTCCGTCTTTCTGGTTAGTTAAGTGATACATATTTCCCAGCAGAAAAGAATTATTACATGAGAATAATGAGTCAATTGTGCTTCACAGGCCCCACTGTGAAAATTACCAGATTAAATTTGAGCCTTAGGGATTTATGAGTAAGTGAGCTAATATAACCTATAGTACCGAAGGGAAACAGTCTATTAATACGTTAAGTTAACCTGATTTTTCTCAACTTCAGCGACTAAGATGACCCAACAGCTTGAGGAAAAACTTCTCAGGTTTTCATGGAGTAAGCAAACTCAACCCTTCTTATTTCCGGAAACCCCTTTCTCTCCTCCCACTCTGTACTTTGCCCGTGGTGTTCCTTCTACCTCAATTCCTATTGCACATTCTGAAACTGCTTCTCCTCCTGGACGGCCCATGTTCATCCTCACAGTTCTGGCCAATAGATTAGTTTCATATGAAGAATCCTAACTCCACCATCACCTCCACTGCTGGTCAGAGTTAGTAGTTTGCTCTTTTTGGTTTTTGAACCTTGCGATTGATAAATTAGTCTCCTCCACAATATTACCTTCTTCTTACAGGTGGAGACTGTGCCCAGAGTCTCTGTAGCCCAAACATTGCACCTGGCCGGTGGGAAGAGTCTAGAGATGTTTATGAATTTAGTGTAACCATCAGACAATATGGAAACCTATTGGGAGATTTTTTTGCTTTAGAAACATACATAGACAGCCTCCATCAGCTTCTCTCTCCTTTCCTAATCTTAGGTTCAGGTGACCTTGATCCTTCAATGATGTTGGACACAGGAGAGATCATTGATACAGGATCTGATTATGAAGATCAGGTAATTAAAATCTAAAAATACTTCTCTATTTAAATGTTTTTAATTTTAACCTGTGTAAATGTTTTATGAAGATTAGAATTATAAACCCTCATTTTGTGAAATCTTTACAGATAACTGACAACATATTTCATGATAAATCGTAGTAGTCTACAGCTTTCATTCGTTACATCTGGCTCTTTGGTCCTCCTTTATTCACAGATCCAAAATAGCCATTAATTAAGGAAAGGTCTGTGGTCCAAAGTTACGTGACATAGAAACAAGGTTCCTTTGCCCAAGAATTTGCTTGTGTCTTTGTCTCTTCCCGCTAATAAACCGATAATATTTACTGAGCATCAGCTAGAGGTTCAGGGCTCTGCTATTCTATTTCTAACCTTTGGAAGGGAAAGATGACTGAGAAAAATGTAGCCAAGAAGTTAAATACAGTTTCTGTTTGAATAAAACTGAAGAAATTTTTCTGGGTCATTTTCCTCTCAGCAGAAGAACTCTTCCTGCTGCTATATTTTAATGATTCCAAATAGTTGGCAGATGATCTAACTCCCTAATTAGGTTTTATTTTTAAAGAAAGGATAATGTCTAAAACTTTCTTCCCCCTTTCATCAATGCTCCTCAGCAATGGCTGAAAGCCAAGCAAACATGTTCCTGTAGGTGTTTTTTTCCCTCTCTTCAACTAATATTCCTCACAAATATGGCAAACACATCTGAACAGTGTCCACATGCAATAGCTGGCTGTACATTTCACATGCATATTCGGAAGCTATTTTCTTGAGCATTAAGTTTCTTCCATTTAGTACAAAGCAAGGAGACAACACTGACAAGTGCTGTAATAGCTACCACATGTTTATAGTAATTTTTAACATTTATTAAGCACATACTACGTAGAAAACGTCGTGCTAAGTTCCTTATGTTGATAACACATCTAAGTTCCACATTATCTATAGGAAATAGAAATTATTATATCTACTTCACAGGCAAGAAAATTAAGACTGAAAGAGTAATTTGCTCAGGATAACACAAGTAATTTCACAGCGGGGATGTGAACTTAGGGCACGTTGCCTTCCACCCACAATATACTGCCTCCCATGCTAGCCTCCAAACATAGGCCACTCAGTGATACATTTTGGGAGCCTTTTCAGTTGCTGACCTGTAAGGCCACAGCAGAAGCCAATGCCAAAGAACCACTCATGATCTAATATTACAGACTGCTTAGAAATGAACCATAACAAGGAAAGCCAGGTGGTTAAATGAATGCAAGGCTCCATGCCTCCAAGAACTAGAAAAAAAACGAAATTCCAAAAGAAATTGAAATATAGGAATATTTAAAATATTCAAAGCAAAGGTCAAAAACCGTGAAACAAATGACAGGAACAAAAGGGAAAAAAGAAGCAGAAGCGAAAAGGGAAGAAACACGTTCTAGGCACAAAAAATATTGTCATTGAAATAAAAATTCAATTAACAGGTTGAATAGTAGACTAGACACAGCTAAAAGGATATTTGCTGATAGAGCAGAGGAAATTGCCTTAGAATAAAACAGAGAGCTGAATAGTTGTCAAATTGAGAAAGAGTTTAGGAAACACTGAGAATAGAATAATTGAGCCAACATATTCTGAAAGGAATTCTAAAAGGAAAGAATGGAAAGGGTAGAGCAGAGGCTGTATTTTAACAGATAATAGTTGAGAATTTTAGAGATTAAAAAAAGACACGTCCCCACATTGAAGGAGTACATCCAGTCCTGAAGTCCTGAGCAGAATTTTTTTAAGAAATCCTCACCTATTCTTTTTTCATTTAGTTATTCAACTAATATTAATTGAGTACCTACTATATGCCAGGTTTTTTTAGGCACTTGGAATATATAATTGTACAATACAAGCAAGGACTCTTGCCACAAGGAGCTTACATCTTAGTGAAGAAGAAATGGTAACCCATAAACATAATAAATTAGTAAATTCTCTAGATTGTCAGAGATGATAAGCTCTATGAGAAAAGAAAAAGTAAAACAGGGTAAGGGGTTGGGAATGCTGGGGGAGTGGACAAATTTTAGTATCAAACAGGAAGGTCAGTATTAAATGGGATGGCCTAATTAAAGAAGTGAACAACTTAACACGTAAAACATCAGAGCACAGAAGACAAAAATAAAATATTAAAGGTGAAAAAACATTACCCATCTTTTCAGAAATAGCAATTTGGATGACAACAGAGTAAATGAAGCAAGAACTTACATATATTGAGCAGCTACTATAAACCAGGCACTGCGTTTTATGGTTTGCATGTATTATTGCTAATCCTTACAATAACTCAAGAAGGTAGCTCTGCTAATCCTTAATATACAACTGAGGAAATTGAGGCCCACAAAAGTTAAGTGACTTCCCAAGACCACACAGCTAGCAAATTGTAGAGTCAGGAATTAAACTTTGATCTGCCTGGCACCAAAATCCAGTTTCTACTTTCACCACTCAAAAAAGCTGTTATCAAGGTCACTGGTAATCTCTTGCCAATGCCAGTTAACACTTTTTAGCTATCTTTCTTGACCTTTGCTGCATTTGACACTGTAAACTGAGAGTCACCAAACATTTTCTATAAAGACCAGGTAGTGAACATTCTAGGCTTTGTGGGCCATATGAGCTATGTTACAACTATTCAAACTCTGCCATTGTTGTGCAAAAGTAGCTATAACAATATGTAAACAAACAGGCATGGCTGTGTTCCAGTAAAACTCTATTTATGAATATTGAAATTTGAATTCCATATAATTTTCATGTGATTTATTTCAACCATTTGAAAATGTAAAAATTCATTCTTAGCTGAGAGGCCATACAAAAATAGACAGCAGGGCGGGTTTGACCTGTAGGCCAGTTTGCTGACCCCTGTCATAAACCCTTCCCCCGGTTCTAAGTGCTTCACATTTATTACCTCATTTTATCCTCAGATAACTATATAAGATAGATATTATTATTATCCCAATTTTACTGATGTGGAAACTGAGGCACAGAGAAATTAAGCAGCTTATTCAAGGTCACACAGCTGGCAAGAGGTAAAGCCAGTATTCAAATCCAGCCATCTGACTCCAGAGGCAGGATCGGGAAAGATAGACTAGACTGTGCTGGGGTAGCAAATAAAACTCAAAATCTGAGTGCTTTCCTTGCAGAGGTCCTTTCACTTGCAACTTCCAAAGGGATCATGGATGGGAAGGACAAGAACTTGAGGAAGATGTACTTGTGCTTAATTGTATATTGTCTCACTAGCACCCCTAGTCACTAGCTCTACCCAGATGCAAGGAGGCACCCTCCCCACCCCCAAAACCTGACTTAAACTGAACTTTTCTGGAATCAATGCCCTTCTGTAGCTGACAGAGGCCACCACATCTTCAGCTACATGAATGCTAACGGAGCTTACTTATGTGCCCAGGAAGGGAGAGAGGGACTTAGTAAGCACCAAGCCAGCCTTGGCCGCAAATTCCTGCTCCTAACCACAGGCTACAACACTAGCGTCCATGTGTTCACTCTCCTCCTCGGTTCATTCATTTTCGATTTCCTTGCTGAACTCCTTTCCATCAGCCTATTACTTAACTTTGTGTGCTCCCTAGCATCCTGGCTGTGGCCCCTTCTCTCCTCGCTGAACACATTCTCCTTTGAAAAGCTCGGTCACAGCTGTGGTTTTGGCTTCACTTAGAGCTTCCGGGTGAGCTCCTGTTGCATATATCTGACTACTAAATAACACTAGTTGGATTTCCCATGTACGTCTCAAATTCAACATGTCCAAAACCAAGCTCACCGTCTTCCCCCACAAAATCTGTTCTTCCTTCTGTTTTTCCTATTTCTGTGAATGACACCACCATCCCCCCAGCTGCCCAAGCCAGAAACAAGGGCGTCTTCCTAGCATCCTTTCTTTCCCTCCCTCCCTACATCAGTTTGATCAAGAAGCTGGTCAGTTCTTCTGTGCAGGAATTGCTCCTCCCCCCTCTAGTCCACGGCCCCTGCCTTGGTCCTGGGACCATAGGGACAGCCTCCTAACCAGTCTCCCTGCCCTAGTCTGCTCACCCATCAAAATGATCTTCCTAAAATCACATACAGTCATGGTGTTCCAATGCTTAACACTTGCCTTGGCTCCTCATTGATTTCAGAATTAAATCAGAACCTCTTAGCATAATACATAGAAACTTTCAAATCAGAATCTGACCGCTTTCCTCTCCAAATTCATCCTTGGCCAATCATCAAGACACACTGATTACGCTAAGCCGTTTGCAGTTCCCCCAAGAGGGTTATGGTTCACACAGGCCCTTTCCTCTGCATGGAAGTTTCCCCAACCCTATCACCTCTCTCCCAGATAACCCCTGTGCACAGGACAAGCTTCTCCTCAAGGAAGCCCTTCTCTTGTTATATGTTTCATTCACCTTCTCAGCAGGTCCATGAGACCCTGTGCTGTGACATTCTCTTGCAGTTCAGGGACTGCATTCTGCTCTGTGTATCCTCAGCGCCTGCTACAGAGCCTGGCATATAGCATATGCTCAATAAATATCCATTTTTTAAGCCAAGAAAATGAATTCCAGTTCTTCTAATTAATGTGTGATTTTTTTGTAACTTGCTTAGCCTCTTTGGAGCCTCAGTTTCGTCTTCTAGATGACGACAGTAACCCCACTTAGAAGTGCTGCTGTGAGAGGTAGGGAGGTACCTTGTATAGAACAAAAGCTCTAGAAACATGAGTCTCTTTCCCTCCCCGCCCCCAAAAGCTGACTTAAACGGAACTTTTCAGAAATCAGTGCCCTTCTGGAGCTGACAGAGGGCACCACATCTGCAGCTAAGTGAACGCTAACTGTCTGAGAACTTGTAGTTTCTGGACTGACGTGTAAGGAGCTTAGAAGTTGCTACTGTGTCCTAACAAATAAAAAGCTGAACTAACTGGAAACCAACAACCCTTCTTAGATCTGTCAGAGAAGTGAGGTTATAGGACAAACCACTGCACCAAAAATTAGAGACAGGCGCATACAGAGAATCACAACTGAACAG